TATATATATATATATATATATATATATATATATATATATATATATATATATATATATATTGGAGTTTTGCGCGGCATAGCATGCGGCAATCGACTGCAACTTCATCTTCTGCGGAGATACGTTATGCAAAACTCGAACTGCGCATGTGCATGAAGATCGATAGTGCTGTCGATTGCTATAACGCTTCGGCGGGCAAAACTTCCAATAATTATGAAAATATAATTTCATCATGCTCCTAATCATCTCCCAATTACAACAAATTTTACGAAATCGATATATCCACGAATTTCATTTATCGAGATCCCGCCGAAATGAGAATCAGAAAACTCGTTAAAAATTCTTAACATTACTCAGACAGTACTACAAGTTGTCCAGAAATATTTTATTATAAATGAAATTCTAAAAGATGAATTGTACAATGCCTTTTTCGTTACCTACACTTGAAGTTGTGTATTTCTTTACTTTTCCGAACTAAACATTTCCTTCATAAGTGTATTCTGATTTGCATTCAGATCGTAAGTGAACATTCACCAAACCTATCCCATATCGCAAATAAACTAATAAGAGGTAGATATTAATGACTCTTCTAATCTACAATTAATTTCAACTAATAATAAATTACACACTTTATGATCGTAAATTGATTCTTTACATTTAAGAAAACATGTAAAAAATGTGAAGATTCTTCCAGACACCCAAGCTATATTACTTAGTTAAGGGATGTAGTTCACAGGAATTCTACAATGACAGACAGAATTGTACAATGGTTACTTAATTAAATGTATTAAAGTACTTTAGCTATAGAATAGTAGAAAGAATGGGTTCAAAATTAGTATAAGAAAACAAATGTGGAAGGGTGAAGAAGATAGCATCAAGAGTGACAAAACTTGTGACAAAATGAATAACATGGTGATTCGTGAATAATGAAATTCAAATGGCACTACTGAAAATTGAAGTGATAATATTGATAATTGTATTTAAAAATTAACAGAGTATACTTATAATACAACCCTACACCTTAAGAGGTGAAAAATGATTTTAATTTTTTTTTATTTAAGTTATGGTACTAAGAACATATCAGCTTTTTGTTGCAACTGTGGTGCAACTCACAAAACCTTGCTTTTCAGGAAAATAATTTAAAATTTCGTGTTCACATATGAAATACAGCTGTAACATCAATGTTCTCTGGCAATAAATTAAACACAGGTATGCTAATACAAAAATAACTCAAAAAATTATATTATTTCTCACAAATGAGTCACTACAGCCAAATGACCATTGTTGTGCAATTCTTGCAACAAAAGTCTTGTCTTCAAAAATAAACGTGAAATATTTTGTTAAGAAGAAGAAAACGTGCACGAAAGAGTTATTTTAATTCAAACAGTTTATTGATGACAAAATAAATCACATCAAACAATTTTATCAACATAAGAAAGAGTAGTTCAAATACTTTTAAAATCTCACATTGATCTTAATCAATATCAATCTTTTGAAATGTGTCTTATCAATTTTCACACAAAAGTTATTTTCATTTAATGATCTCTCAGATGAACATAATACAAATATTTAACATTATCTCTTGAAACATAACTCCAGCATCTAATTGAAAGAAAATTCATTTGGTTACTTTTTAGCAAAACTTATCAGAATGTACTGCGGAAAACACACAAGAGAAAAACAATTGGTTTCAAAGATCACAAAGGTCAATGTATATAATTAGAAGTGAACATGAATAATCATGTCAGTCCTAAATAACAAAATAAGAGCAGTGAATTGGAATCAAAACCATTTTCTTTATAAATTGTTACTAAGTGATAAAATAATAATACTAATGGTCTATCCATGTGTCCAAACTTAGAAATTCTAAATGCACGTCATGGTCCAAACAATTACATCAAAATTAAAAAGTCACAGAAATATGGAGAATAACAATTATTCTCCAATGTCAATGATTCTTCCATAGTGATAAGGATTTAAAGCCTTCATGTATATTTAGATATATTAAATCAGTCACACGGTTGTCAGGAATGTAAATCAACAAGAAATTAATCAAAATACTAAAGTTGGTCAGAAATAAAATAATGTCAAGAAGAAATGATCATTTGTCAACTCAGTAAAAAAAAAACTGCTTAGGAAAATGTTTACGCAAATCTCCACTAGAAAATTTTTCTTAGTTGGACACACAATTCTCAATCTGTATTTCATTCTTGTTATTGGCAGAAGGGAAAAGTGGATAGGTTAAACTTGATGGACTGCCTGAAGCAAAGCAAGAAATGTACTGTTGGCCTGGTATTGGAGAAATAACTGGGTAAGTTCCAATCTGATTTGGCATTTTCTCCAAAATATCTGAATTTTTAACATTTTTCTCATGAATAAAAACATTTCTGCGTTCAAATGAAAAGTTATTCCAATATTGGCAGTCATATCGACTGCCAATATTCATTTGGGCAAATTCTTCAGTAAAATTACTTAGTGAAGGGAATGTTTGCAAACTTTGTTCATTGTTGAATGGACTTTGATTTGTTTGGAAACCATCTGCAATCAGCCCTACATTTACACTGTATTGAATTAAATCATCCATTGAATTCTGTGAGAAACTATCATCAGAGTTGTGAACAAAATTAGCTGAATTTTCAAACACATGATTATCAGTGTACGAGTCTTGTTCAGCAGGACCAATACTCAATGATATTTCAGACTCAGAATGCAATGAATCAGAACCTAATGAAGAACTGGAGTCACTACAACTTGTATGATATTTAACATTTTGACAATCAGAAGAGCCATATAACATCTCATCCATTACTTGCTCCAAGGTTCTACCATTAATTAGCTTTGAATTCTCAGTTGAGAGTTCAGCTTGTGGCATTGATGGTAGCTGTTGAAAACCATTTCTTGATGATTTGCGTCGATTTCCATTGGGCTTCTGGTTTTGAATTTGACAATTAGATGATAACTAAATGAAAAGAAATGTATTCCTTACAATGAAACCACCAATATATTATTTTTCAAATGCATTGTATCCATAAAAACAGCAGCAATAACAGACTCTTATTAATTTCTCATAAATGTATAGTAGAATAAGTTTTGGTGTTAACTGAGTCTGTAAATCAGTTAACTTTAAGTAGATGAGAAAACACTGTAACAATGAAGAAATATGGTTGACACAATAATAGGAAAGGTAAACACGAGTTCCTTTTCCTTCAGTTATCTTGGATTTAATGAGTCTAATGTGCAGGTAACTTCATGTTATCATTTAAATAATTACTCTGTAATGTGTATTTCACATCATACTTCAAAATTTTCACAAGACATAAAACATTAATCAAATAAATGATGCAATACAGAGCAAAAATAAATTTAATCAGATTAAATATTATTTCCACAAACATCGTCAAATCAAGATCTTTTTAAACCAGCTTACAAACTCAATAACTGACAGCAGCATAGGCATGCACTGTCTAAAACAACAAACGGGTCCAATTACATTTCTGGGCCCCTTATTCTTTTGAACTTTTTTATATTCACATACGACATAATTTACTATAAAAAAATGAAATATTCACCAAAGAGAGTAAATAATAACTTAAATGATTATTAATTTTAAATAAAAAACTGTTTTAAGTTGTACTATTTACATCTGGCGAGCTTCTTCCCTCAATGTCAAACAACAAATTGCCTAATTTTTCGGTTGGTGAAATTAATTAAAATTATTATTATTAATTATTCTACTTGTATTATAATGTTTAAATGTTATGTATTCATAAAATATGTGGCCACTAATGACTTAAGCTGTTTCTAAGGCAAACTAAATTAAAATTTTAAAAACCCTAATTATGAGATTAAAACTGGGAAAAGGAGGACAGAAAACATTTAAGGAAATAAAAGGTTATTATTTACTATGGCATTCTTTTGAAAATGTTCAGGGCAACCACAGCCGCCCTGGTCCCCATCTATCTATGCCAATGTTCAGCACTGCAGTGAATAAGTTAAGAATATTGTTACTAAAATAAAATTGTGATGGACCCTCCCCTCCTCTAATAAATATAACTTCATAATGAAATACACCTGCACCTTCTGTTAGAGAAAAAAATTATCATAAATAATATTTGACCCACTCAAGCAAACTTGCCAATTCTTACCATAACACACTTGGAACAATTACACAAATTAATTAACTAGCACCTATTACTTTTTATAATCCTGAAGTAAAATTGCACTACAAGACAACAAAATTTAAGACTCAATACAACAAAATTTACCCATAACTAAATATCAAATTGTTTTTGTATGTAAATATATTTCTTTCATAATTTGACTATTCAGTATATATGCAATTTTTTTAAGGCACACGCAGGTAAAGGAATTCATATTAGGTGCAGGTTTGTAGACAAACCTATGCATATATAAAATGGAAAAAAATCATATAAAAATACTTTTAATAATTGTATTTATGATACACTGCATTGATATTAAAGAGCATTTTTTCCCATTTTTTAAAATTCAAATAACAGCAGAAGCATACACTAACCACAGATAAACAAGGGTCCACATGACAAGTCATGATATCATTATATTAATAAATAAATCAACAAGCACGAACATATCCTCACAGAGAATATTCACAAAAGAAACATTATTTTCGAATTGTTTACCGGATTTTAGAGAAACATAACCTTAAAAATCGATCTCTTAGCAAGATAGTAAAAACACTGGATAGGAAATAACCAAAACAACTTCAATTACACGAAATTTTAATTACCTTCTCAGCTTGCGCCAGGTACACCCACAACTTCCGCCAGGTTGAAAATTTCTTCTTATCACTGAAGTTATATTGCATTTCTTTCGAAGCATAACGTGTAGAAAAGGGAGACCGATAGTTACAATATTCGCTATTTTCCTGGAAACCGGCATCCATGGCGAACAGCAAACGAAAATATACGATTAATTTTCACTTTTATAACGACCCAAGCAAAATACTGCTCTACGTGAGATACAATTTTCGGTTCACACCTACACAGTACACACGATCAACAACCTACGCACGTGCTCCTTGCGCGCACACTAAGTCAAGAAAGAAAGTATCTTCATACACTTAATTTACATAATTTCTCGAGACATCAAATAATTACGTCAAAGCAGGTCATATGTCATCGACCTTCGGAAATTATCAGTCGTTTTTATGATGTTGTGCTAATCGCTTATGAAATTTCTCTTACGAAAGTTCAACACTTCGGTCTGATGCGAGACGAACGCCGATGTTGCCATGACAACTACACGCGCCGAACATGAACAACATTTGAGAACTGACCAAGACAAACAAATTAGTCAGTAAATAATTATTGTATTAGTACATAGTACGTTCCTTAAAACACTTTTGGAATGTGATTCCTTTTAAAAGTATCTCGATAATTAATTAATTCATTGTAATTTCTTTTAAAGTAATAGCCAGGGTAACATAACCCAAAACAGATAAAATAGTGTCACACTCCACCAACAAATTGTTTCATTTGTAATAATCAATAAATATTCTATTTCATTGATACATTTATTTAATATATTATTAATGTAAGGAACAAATTATTTAAAGGCTTGGCAACAAAAAGTCGGCCCTTAATGAATTCTTTACAGACAACTTAAAAGAATCAGGTTATCATAGTAGACACTATTTACAAGAAATTCGTCGAAAATACTACTTTACTTAATTTTTTCAGTTTTGGTTGAATATTTTTGCTTTGAATATATATATATATATATATATATATATATATATATATATATATATATATATATATATATATTGTTATTGCTTGTTATTGCTGCTGTATTTGACAATGTGTACTACTTTGTATAGGCATACTACAAATTAGACTTACTTTTTGAATTGTGTTAGCCCATTCCACGGAAACTTCATGACCCCACAACTCCAAACGGGCAGGGAGTAGTCGTCTTCTTGCCATTGCAGCTGCTCGGTGACTTTCATATTCAGCAATTACGAAATGCGGCTTTTTGGAATTGTTAAATCTTTTACGAGATACAGGAGCTACATGCACTTTGACATCTACCACACCCTCGGTGAGGTACTTAATAGTCTGTCAACAATGAAGACAACAATGACATATAACATTTATATTTTTCAATGCTCCCTAAAGTAACAAAACTCAATATTAATTGTACTTCTGCTGAAAAATGTAGAGCTAATTTTCCGTTATTTAAAACTTGACACAACAAATAAGCAATGTGAACAGCTATTTAAGTTTTTCAATGTTATAATTTTTGTTAACACTAATTGATTAATTTATTGTGTGATTGTTGAAAAGCAATTTGTCAAAAAGTTAAATCAAAAGAAACATTTCAGAACCTTACCTTTTTTATCAATTTTCTGTCTACAGTGCCCGAAAGAGTTCCTATGTAAATTTTGCAGTTGTTAGTTGATCGGACGACTCCAATGTTACGTCCTGGACGAATTTCGTAATTATTTAGTTCATTTACTGCCTTTTCAGCTTCCTCCGGGCAAGTATACATAACGAATGCATACCCTCTATTGGTACCACTAAAATCCATCATCAACCGTAATTCATAAATCTGTCCTACTCTGCTAAATACTGGTACTAATTCGTCTTCGAAACAATTTCTCGGAATTTTTCCTACAAAAACTTCACTGTCCTTTGGAGGTGGAGGACCGGACCATTGGGGAGGAGGCCCTCCGTAACGTCGTTGTCCATTCACTTGAAGAATGCGATAAGATGTCTTCTTCATGAGGTCTAAAAGTCTTATATTCATTGCAATAGATTCTTCAGAATCAAGACGATTTTCTTGTCTGTAAACTGGCATAGTGATAAGTATCGTGTGTCAAGTCTTGTGTTCTTCCACTCCGAATTAATGATGAGTGCTCCGGAACGCGGAAGCTGTTGTCTGTCGGTTATCAACGTTTGAACAACAATGTCATTTTTACGTTACATTTCTTTCCTTATTTTTTAGCAACGCAACAAAATATGAAATGAAACGCTTTACTATCGTAATACACCACTTCAAGATGTCAAGTTCATTTCAAAAAAGGTCACTGTTTCAAGTTTCAAATATTAAAAAAAGGAAAAAAATGGGCTAAATAAAATAAAAGGAGAGTAATGATTGGTCCATTTTTTCCCAGAATCCTGTAGTGCGAAAAAAATGTTAAAACATCCGTTCAGTTACATCTTTGTTGATTGGTCGGGATGAATGTAGTATCGATTTAAAATTTCATGTATTACATCAATTGGGATACATGAAATGCATACATGCATTTTTACTTCTTAAAAAGGTTTAATTAGTGGAAAACTCACGAAAAATTACTGACATAAAAAATCGTCAGATCCACATCAGCTTACTTCTAATTTCTAACATACTCTGTTGATATACAATGAACGTTTGTACTATAACGCAAGAACTTGGGATGAAAACTTCAGGAGGTTTTCCATCAATATTCCTCATTTAAAGGATTTCTAGTTTCATTTGAAAATAAGACAGTACTAATTTAAATGTTTTATAATTCCCGCAATAAATTTATTTAGAAATTAAATTGTGGAAAAACCACTTAATAGCCGTAGTTCGCAATGTGCAACATGCGTAAAGAAAAGAAAGGGTGCGTTTAACATTTTTATCAAATAGAATATATTTTCAGTGGTTCTGTTATTTAAACGTAGAATTTTGAACGAATTATGAAATTAATATTAATTGTTAGTCGCAAGAGTCGCTCAAGGTAATTCGTCTATATAATTTATGGTAGATTCTCGATTTTCCTCGTTAACTAATTTAGAAATCACGATAAAACGATGCAATTGAAGGACGGCAGAAAAATGTTTCCTTCTCAAATAATAGTATATTTATGCATTTAATAAGGTGTTATGTACATTTTAATTAGATTCGAAAATCGCCATAATATAACTGAACTCTCCAATAATATTTTATATTTCAATTTATTGAATAAGTCATTACAACCCTTCTTGCACTTCTTCCTCATACTACGTCAGAGTTTGTAACTGTTTTTGAAGTTCACTAAATACATACGTGAAATAAATTAAGTAAAAAAGTGTGTTATAAGTAGAAGAAATAATGAATGGTGGAAAAGAAAGGAAAGAGAATAGGGTAATGTGGATCAGGGTCTTGGTCTTACAAGTTTAGCGTTGCTTTTCTGGAGGGTATTTTCATGTTAAATAATTGTTACTTGAGCTATCAAAGTTCTTAATAAAAATAAATTATAAACGTAATGCAGTTGTATGGCTAGACCATTCGCGGAAATAAAGTGTTAGATGAAAAAGTATCGAAGAAAATACTTGCTTTAATGTTAAAGATACATTACAAAATTAGGTTTAATTGTCGACAATCTGATGTATAAATTAATGATTCCAGTTATATCGTAAAGGCAGCATAGTAATTCACAGCGTTTCACTACTGTAGATGTCTGAAACTCCTCCTCCCGCAAAATTTTTTAAAAAACTAACACTTCTAGATTATGGTCTGGCTTAAAATGGTGCTAATCAATTCGTCTTGTTGACAGGAATCGAATGAGCCATCGATCACCTGTATAGGTGCCCCTTAAAACCTCTAAAAATGCGTTATATGTGCTTAATCCTCCCCCCCTAGATGTCTTTTTTCAAGATTTATTTTAAAACATTCTGGAAGAATCCGAAAAAAATTAACATTTCCCACCAGCAGATCGAGACGCGTCGAACGACTATTCACTTGACCCAATTATTTGATCGGAAGATGTATAACAGTGAGTAACGGACGGACACTGGCGGATTATCCGAGTACTTTTAAAGATGAATCACAAGAGAATCAGCCCTCTTGAGGAATATTTCTAAGATTTTTAATAGGCTAAATCAGAGCTTTTCAAACTAATATGCGGACCCCTGGAGAACATTAAATATTTTCTTTACTTCGTGGCGAAGTGTTATAAAGTTAAATTTCTTCCTCGGTTGGGTCATTGATTTAATATAAAAGTTAAAATTATTTTTTCACTAGATAAAATAGTACACTAATAACATATAGAAAATACTATTTCAAACCATTCTTTAGAAGAATTTTCACGATGACTTACAGTCTTTACGGGTTAAAAGCATGAAAAAGTTTGAGATGTTATGTTATCGATGTTTCAGAGATGCAAATTACAAACAGTTGACGCAGAGAAAATTTCGCTTTGAAAATTTTAAATAACCGAATTAAAAGGACATTTACTCTTTTTTATGCCACCAACGCCCTCAAATTTTGAAAAAAAATCTTGTGTGTGCTCAAAAGATTGAAAGGATTCCAATTCCATTTTACTTCAGCTGTCCCGTTATTTTTATGCCGAGTAGGTCTTCGTTAAAACATATTATAATAACAGAAATAATGTTTATATTTGCATACGTTCGTTTAGAGTTTTTATTACGTGAATAGCCTACGTACATGCATATTCTATATTTTTGTTATTTTACACGAGTTCAGATTACGTGCGAATTCAGAAAGTATCTTCACGAATGAAGTTTACTCTACAGACAGAATTGAACAAATTACGATCTAAAATTGGAAAGGGGAATAAAAATAAGTTGTATAAATACGGATCAATGTGGACTGCGACAGTGCATTTGCGATGCAGTCTGGTTGTTAATTTTCTGTTAGAAACCATATTTCGCTGCAAAGTCAAACATTCTACCCACAGTTTCTCTACATAACAAACTTTTTCTTATAGTTTACAGAGTTAAATTTGTCAGTGTCGACAGTAAAGCAGCCGTTATTTTTTCACTCTGCTTTCAATAACGATAATTAATTTTGACAAAATAATTTGTATTTATTTAACCGAAATTCAGAAATTTGCACTATCTAGGCGGCAAAGCATTCACCTTACTATGGCGACGTTATACTCAATTTCTGGAAGAATTTTTAAATATTAAAAATTGTAGTATTGATTAATTATTTTTGTAGATACTACGGACAATTTTATTATAAATCCAATATTACTTTATTTAGAACATGCAAAATACAATCTGCTTTAAAAATGCACTAATTAAGCAATGCACTAATTTGGAAACTTGAAGAGGTTAGGCATTGTCAGAAGCATAGCCTCTAAAATTGCATGGCTCATGACCCTTCGATTGAGGGAGAAAGCAAAATTACATTTAAACATCACGCTGGGCGATTAAAATAATGAAATACTTGCGTAAAGAACTTGCGGGGGATAATACCTAGTGCCATTGCATTTTTTAATGAGAGAAAATTTGTTATCTTTTAAGTTTTGGAACGAAAAACAGGTTTCGGTATTTATACAACACCACCTACTTATGAACACAGCCACCGTGTGATGTCATACATCATCTGCTACTGTTTATCCCTGCTACTTTTTTCATATGGCTGGTTATAAGGTTGGGTCTAGAAATAGTAAGGATTCTTGTTTTTCAGAATAATGTTCTGAATGATTTGTAATCAGTTTTACACGTACAACAAAACATCAATCAGTTCATTTAATTTTTAAAAAGTATTTTTTAAGACCTCAATATTAAAGCTCTCAGCAACAACCTGTAATAAAGATCAAGAAATAGAATCGGTTGCTATATTGAAATCTTCGCAATCTGTGATAAAACAGTTCTTTGAGCTGCAGTTTTTTTCTACGCTTAATCTAATCTTCAAGTGTGCTTTGTAATTGGTGCAAAATCCTCTGTCTCTCATCACAGAGGGTTGAGAACTCCATTGATTTATGTGACTATTTCTCAGGCGTAAGAGGATTATTACTTAATAAAGTTAATATAAATGGATTATCGAAGTTAGATAAAAGTATTGTTGTGGCTTCTGTACTTAACAATGGCTAGAACAATCAAAAGTGTACAATATTGCGCATTCCTAGTTGTAGGAACAGTCAACAAATATACGAAGCCCACATGACGTGTCTTTGTCCCTTAGTAGGAGAGTATTTTGAAATTGATTAAATATAATATTAAATTATCATGGCATTCAATTATTTACTAATTGCACAATTGAATAACAATTGTGGGATATTGTTACAAATACTGGTATTCGTAGTTACTTAAATAAAACACTTGGCGAAGTCCTTCATTCGCTGACCTCATCGCTGGAAGTAGTGTAACGTATCAATCGTCATTTGTTGTCATTTTCTAGTGTGTCACTATGCCATTTTAATTCCACTTTGGTCAAATTGTTGGGGAATGTGGGATAAGTCGGGATGTATGGATAAATAAGGAAACGCCTTCCTTACTAGCTATACATTGATAAAAACGTTTTGATGTTCGAACATTATAAAAACTAAGGTTACCTCTGGGTGATAAATTTCAGAATAAAAATTATAATAAACATTATTGTGGAGGGTTTATTATGCTAAACAAAGAGCATTCCCCGTAGTTGTATATTGTTGTCTAATTTATATACGGTTATACATTACGATAACACAATATGATCTGCATCCATCTGTGATTCTTTTCATGCAATGCTTCAATGAATTCTCCGTTCCTTTTTTCACTTAAGAAAATTCTCTCAAAAAAGATTCCATTAAGAATGGAATCCATAATTTCAATATTGAAGATGCAGTACAGACTCCAAAAATCGAACTTTGCCACAATACAATTTAAAATAATGCGGAAACGAATGAATTTGAAAATAATTGCCATGAAATAATTTAAAGACCTTATTTTAAGGAATAGCTTTAATTTTGAAGACATCAAAAATGTTTGAAAAAATAGCCATTGCAATTTTCAAAATACAAAAAAACTTAATGAAAATAGAAGTTACTCCACATCATTAAACGAACCAAACCAAACCAAATTCGAGATGACCAAACATTTAAAGAGATAATTTGATGCCGTTTT